TATTTTTTAAATTCAATTAATTTTTATTTTAACTTAAAAATCGATGTTAAAAAAACATCGAAGCTCATTATTAAACTTGTCATATATTGTTGAAGCTTATAAATCTTATACAAGTTCACTGAATAATTGCAAGTATATATATATATAACATAACATATAGTATATATACAAGAGTACTTATTTTTTTAGTCATAAATAAAAGGTATGCGATAATTCGTATTAAGTAAATAAATAACAAAACGTCGGTTAAATGAAATAAAAAAAATTTTTTCTTCTAATATGTATCCAAAAGAAAAGCAAAAAAAATATTAAAAAAATATTAAATAAAGTAACGAATTTTTCAACAACAAACTTATTTAGTAAACAAACTAAAACTCAACTAATATTGATATTTTATTTTAAATTGCATTAATAGCCGTTATAACTTTTATTTTAAAAAGCACTTTACTGTCAATTTCGATAACTAACGATATCGTTAGTCGATAACTGACTGCCTTGTAGCATCAAGGAAAGCAATATTGGCGCAGTAAAATGTTTGATTCTTGCGCAGTGCAGAGTTCGCAGAATTTTGACATTTAGAAATATTTTAAGTGTGAGGCATACAAACGTAAAATTTCATTAACAAAAAGATTTGCTGCACAATGTTGTGTAAAAAATTGAAAATAACTTTTTTTAAACAAAAAATTAACTTTGTGTTGTTTATAAGTGAAACTAATGCTTAAAAATAAAGTGAGAAAATAAAATTTAACTTAAAAAATAATTTGAAAAAATCGTTAAAAATATTTCAGTGTATTTGAATTTTCTTGAATGATTTTCATAATATTAATAACGTTAATTAACTTTAGAATCATTCTTAATTGCTAACCTTAATTAATTTAAAATAATTTTAATATTTCGATAATAAATCATTAATTTTAATTTTATGGCCCTTGTGCATGTAAAGGAATTTCTTTAGCTTATTTAGTCATTATGTATGCAAATGCTTGCGTGCGTGAATGCTGCTAGTATGTGTATGCGTGTGATTGTATGCATTCCATAACGTGATACTTATCGGCTGAGTGATGCAGGTTATGAACCTTTTTTTAAGGATGGGGTTGCGACTCCATCCGTTACTACAGCACGTGTGTTGGTATTTGTGTTTGTGGGTTGCTAATATTTTAAATATTCATAATGTACCAACACATACCTACACACGAATGTGTGCACATATTCACACGTTGCCATTTCAAATGGTAACGTTCAAAGCTTATTGAAGCGCTTTTTTAATTTGGTCTATAACTTAAAAAAGCTCTGCAGTAGTTATCCATTGGAAACTCTACGAAGGAATAGGGTAAAAATTGCAGTTCAGTTTCGTTGTGGATGCAGTGCGGATCGATATTAAAAAATAATAGAACTGTCGTGATGTGAAAATTTGTTGTGTGTGAAAATTTTAGTTAGAAATGTGTCCTTCAGTTTCAAAACATTTTAAATAAAATAATAGAAAATGTTAAACATTAATAATCATTTTTCAACATATAAAAAAGTTAAAAATAAAAACTTCATTTTAGTTTAGACTTGAAACCAGTAAATCCTTGAGTAAAATTAAATAAAACTATTTGGAAACTATTTAATAAATTTTAATTAACAAAAAAGTAATTAATGTGTAAAACAAGTGTAACTATTACTTGAAAAGAAAACTATTATGATTTATTTATTTCAAATACTTAAAAATAAAATTTTATTGCATATAATTGAGTTCGGCTGAAAATTTTTCAATTTTTAGTATGTACATGTACGTGAGCACCTTCATGGGTACTTTGGCATTGAAGTGGAAGGGGAGTCATAGAGCTTTCGTGCAAGCTCCCTCCACTAAGTTTCGTGCTGCATGCAAATAGAATAAACTAAGCAAAAGTGACATGTTACTGACGTTAAAAAATACTTAGCCTCGAGATAAACAAAAAAAAAACAAAATTCTAACAAAATTTATAAACTTTTGTTGAAAAATTAAATAATTTAAAAACTGAATTTAATTGTGAAAAATTATCGTTACTGCTTTTTGACCGTCCGTTAGCATACCAATGCACACACACACACACAAACACTCTCACAGAACACCTTAGCAATTTCTAACATCGCAACCAACTTCATTCCTTTAGACTTTTTGGTAAAGTTAAAAGCTCTTACATTTACAAAGGAAAGTTCAATGAAAGTTACACGCGCGGATAAATCCGTAAATATTTCATAGTAGTTGGATGTAGTATCCGGATAAGCAGCATATCTATACTGTAAAAAAAATAAATAAAAAAGAAAATAAATAATAAAATCAAAAGCTCCATCACTGGAAAGAGCACGTAAACTAACAAAAATTGAAAGAAACAAAAAAAAAGAAAACACATAAAAACAAAACATAAAAATAATGACGATGTGAATATTGAGCACATGTTTCAGTAAATACAAAAACAAAACAGTTCGCTTGCATATGTGCGCTTTATATTCAAAAAAAAAAAATCAAACAAAAAAGAAAATTCTGAACAAAATAAGAAATCGAAAATCGTACGAGCACGAGAAAAAGGTGCACATAAATATTTAATCATATGCATACTATGCACATCCGGTAAAATAAAAAATGGCAACCCGGTCACATAAATTACACGGTAACACGCGTGCAATAAATCTTACGAACGCTATGCAACAACAAATGCAAATGCACAAGAACAACAATGGACACAACAACAACAACAATGATAACAATAATTACAAAAAATCAAAGATAAAGCATTCAAGTTCACGCGCGACCACAGCAACAGCAACAACAACAACAACACGACAACAATGTTTTGAGTCTTTAAGTTCATATCATGTGCATGCAGTTGCCTTGATATTAGCGCTGACCTTAGCTCTAGCGCCCTCGTGTTGTGATGCCTTTCAGCTGGATGGTTCACAAAACTCTTTTGCCCAGTTCCGAAAGTGGTATACGGGTCTCAATGGTTCTTTGGAGCTTGAATTTAAGACTGAACAGCCAAATGGCTTGGTGCTGTACACAGACGATGGTGGCACTTATGACTTCTTCGAGCTGAAATTGGTAGAAGGAGCCCTACGCTTGCGATATAATCTCGGTGGTGGTGCTCAAATTATCACGGTTGGCAGAGAACTACACGATGGACATTGGCATAAAGTGCAGGTAATTGCATGTTGTGCATATTTAAATATTTATGAATAAATTACAGCTAACGACTGTACTGCCATATTTCAGATTAATGCAATGAAAAACAGAAAATAAAAAAATAATTTATAAATTTAAAATATTCTTGTTTGTCACAAAAGAAAATTAGTACTGCATAAATAATATTTTGTACAGTCACGCAGTTGTGATTTTAGAAAATCCTTCTACATCAGTTGCTAAAGCAATTAAGTGAGATTTGTATGTTTCAATGAAATATAATTTAAAAAGTAACTACTTAATGCACATTTCTAGCAAAAAAGCACTAAAACACGAAATTTATTATTTTTTATAACAAAAATTATAAATGCATAAACTTACATACTAGTTTATCAGCACTGGAACTAGTTGCAAGAAATACTAACGATTAGTTTGCCTATAATGTCCTCATAAATACTAAAATACAATAAAAGAAATATAAAAACATATATAAAATTAATGAAATTCCTTGCTAGTTTTACTAAAAAAAAACAACTATATATTATTAGAATATTAATATCATATAAGTAATATAATATAAGATTTAATCTGCATTCTTTAAGTTCTTGATATGTTTTTAATAACTGCAAATAATAGTTTTCTGTAATAAGTCAAAGTAGTTATTGAGTTAAGTAATATAAGTACTACATATTTTTTGTTCATAACTTCTAACTATACTTCATAGTTTTTAAAAAATCAATATTTAGCTGATTTCCTTCGTATTAAGAATCTATACCTGGCAAGCATTAATTCTAAAACCATTTTCGATCCTATGAAACATATTCAGAGAGCTTTTAGAATTATTCTTCTTCTCTGGTATACCGCAACTATCTCCATCTTTCCATCATTGAAATGAAACTGATCTATATTGAACTATTACCATGTTGTCAAAAATATTAATACAGTTCTTAAAATCATTAACAGTCCCTGATATTTCACAATTGTCTTTATCTGTCGATCGTTGAAATGAAACAGATGTGGAAATTCAATCAAATGATATCTTAACATACCATATGACAATAGTCTTAAACCTTATCTGGGCTGAATAAAAATTGTTTGTAAAGAGATTACATAAAAGATATGTATGATATGGATCATCATATAAGTCTTCCTTCTATTTTTGATAGCAACTGCTTGTGTCATATATACTTGCAGATTAAAAAGTTTCCACTATAGTCTCAACATAGAAACCTGTAAATTCCTGTACTATGGCAAGTTCAGTAATTCCTTCAGCTGTCAGCTTGGATCAGCACTTTCCATATTTAAGAGGCTTCACACTACGCTGTTTGAAATAAACTGCTTCTCTATAGAAGAAGAAAAAAATTTTCTATTTGGTTTAATTTGATAAGTTCCAAAATTTATAAAGTAGAATTTGAAACATTAAGATGGCCTTGACTTATTAAGTTTGACTTATATTACTAAATCAGTACATCTTTTCGTACGGATTAAAAAATATATAGATTATATAGTCATTTTTACTATGATTCAAATAACTTACCATTTTTATAATTCCTTTATTTAGTTTATAAATAGTGCATTGTTGTATAACTTCTATAACTTCGAGTATTTTGGTTGAGTATTAAGATCTAATTTATAATGTTCTTAGACACCTTCTAGTAATTTGTTAGAAAATTGATATAGTAAAACATTAATCTAAATTAAAGATTAAATAACAAACAATTAAAAAAGTATATCGTATGGTATCAAAAGAGATGTTTATGAATTCTTTTTAGAAACTATGTATGTGTGATCATATTAGTTAAATTTGTTGTTAGTATTGTAAAAAGAAAAAATTATAGACTAAAATTAAAAAAACTACTCCAACGATATTTACCGATATCTATAGAGTGCCAGTTTTTCCCAGTGTTGATCAAATCAGGCGTATCGAGATGTAAAAGTAAAGATGCTAGCTGTTACCAATTCCATTCAATCACATTTTAAACCGTAATTTAAAATATTTTAAAATTATAAAATTTTATTTTCAACTTCCTTATTTATCAGTAATAGTAAGAAGAATGATAACCTATAACTGAGATTTGCAAATAGTTTAGATATTAATTACTATTATTATTACTAACTGAATTCCTGAACTCTCGAATATACATAGAGCCTCCAAGATCTTTATGTTGTCAGAGCTTAGCAGATTTGACTTTAAGTATACCCAGCTATTTTCATCTCTTTGCCAATAGTTCTCCACCATGTTCATCGGAGAGTATATCTGCGTATATTACTTTCAGACTGTCGCAGTGTTTGAGTGACCCATTTCTATGTAATTTCCGAATTAGAAAAATTAAATATACATAGGTATGTGATAAATATTAATATCAACATAGAAATTCATTATATTTATAAAAAAAAATTTTCCAATTTATATTGTCTGACGGTCTTTTTACAACTAATTATATATTAATGTATTTATATATATACATATATATATAAATATTTAGACTAAATAACTTATAAAATTATATTTCCATTTTGATATTTAAAAAATTGTTAAAATTTTGTATTATGTCCTTTATTTTTAGGTACTTCGTAATGATGAACAAACCTCCTTAGCCGTAGATGGTGTCACACAAAGTCGAAGTACGAAGGGCAAAGAATTTCAATTTGGCAAATTTGCTACCAACTCAGATATTTACGTTGGCGGCATGCCAAACTGGTAAGTAAATGCAAACTGTGATTAACGATTTGACTGACTGCACATTTTGATATCATTATCCTTTAAATTTTAAAGGTACAGCACAAAGTTGGCACTCTTGGCACTGCCGAGTGTCATATTTGAGCCAAGATTTCGTGGCGCTATAAGAAATTTGGTCTACGCAGATCAGCCAGGCGGTTTGAATCGCAGGCAAGAAATGAAACAACCACGAGATATAAAGGTATTATCCGAATATCCTTCAACTGTGGAGAGTTAAAAATAACCAATTGTAATAAATTTTTAATTTAGTGTGGCGATGGACCGTGTGACCATGGGGAAAACAAACTCAATGAAAAAGTGTCGAGAGTATGTAGATATATACCTAATACATTTTTACAATATTTTTAATTGTTTTGAACAATAATATTGTTTGTGTTAATCATTTATTTTTATTTATTTGTTAAAATTCATATAGTTCAATAAATTTTCTTTTGATGTTCTATTAAAGGTACGTTACTGCATATATATTCTTTCCAACTAATTGAAAGAACTTCGTTCATTTTAATTTATTTATTTATTTAGTTACTTATTAATATATTTGTTTTTTTAATTATTTGTCAATTAATATATTGAATCGCATTAGTTACTTTTTTAGTTGTGTTACTATATTTATTAACTTTTTTTAATTAATTCTTTATTTTTTTCTTTCATTTATTTATGTATGCATATACGTGTAAATATTACTTGTTAATTAATAAATATAATTTTATAGTTACAGATTTTTTTTAATTATGTGATTAAATTTTATTTTCAATTTATTTAGATTGCTTTATTCACTTTTGTTTTTTATTTACATATTCAATCATTATTTGTTAATTAATAAATATAACTTTACAGTTAATTTTTTTTTAATTATGTTTTTCTTTTCTTTTTCTTTTTTTATTGATAAATAAAATATATTCATGTTATTGTTTATTCATTCATATTACTTTATTTATGTATTTTTTAATTATAAATTTCTGTATCTTCAATAATTTATTTATGTTACTTGTTTAATAATACAAATTACTTATTATAAACAAATTAATTTAAATTAAATTTTGTTTGTACTTAATTTTTTTTTCAATTAATTTAGAAAGCTTGATACATTTTTATTATTTATCTTTTTAAAACTTTATTTTTTGTTCTATATTAATTAATAAATTTATATAGATATTTATTTTTTGTAGTTATATTACAATTTAAAATTTTATATTAATTTAAAATTTTTATTTTCTATATTAATTTATATATTTATATAGTTATTTATTTTGTTTAGTTGTATCACAACATTTATTTATTTTTTTCAATTGGTTTATATAGTTTTATTCATTATTCATATTTAATAATTTATTTATTTTATTTGTTTATAAATTAATATTACTTGTAGTAATGTATTTTTTTAGTTATACTACTTAATTTTTTTAATTAATTTCTATAAATTGTATATATAATATAACAATTTAGATATGTTTTAAGTGATATGTGATATTAGTGATATATAGTGATAACACTTATTTACTATTTAAATTGATATATATAACTTTATTGTTATTGTCATCTTTTAAAAACTTTATTTTTGTTCTATAATAATTAATAAATTTATATAGATATTTATTTTTTGTAGTTATATTACAATTTAAAATTTTATATTAATTTAAAATTTTTATTTTCTATATTAATTTATATATTTATATAGTTATTTATTTTGTTTAGTTGTATCACAACATTTATTTATTTTTTTCAATTGGTTTATATAGTTTTATTCATTATTCATATTTAATAATTTATTTATTTTATTTGTTTATAAATTAATATTACTTGTAGTAATGTATTTTTTTAGTTATACTACTTAATTTTTTTAATTAATTTCTATAAATTGTATATATAATATAACAATTTAGATATGTTTTAAGTGATATGTGATATTAGTGATATATAGTGATAACACTTATTTACTATTTAAATTGATATATATAACTTTATTGTTATTTTTATTCTTTAACTATTTATTTAAATATATGTTGTTTATGTTTTAAATAGTAATTAAGATATAGTTGTCTTTATATATTTACTTCATTTAATTTATCAAAGTAATATTCTTCATTACTTAATTATTTATTTATTAATTTAATAAATAAGTTACCTTATATTTTATTTATTACAAGTATGTTGTCATTTATTATCTATATATTATTTATTTATTTTTATTAAATAATATTATTAATTCATATTTAAATTTTATTCAGTTTATTTTGTCTCATCAAATATAGTTTATTATATTACTCTTATATAAAATAATTTATTTGATAATATTAGTTCTTCGCTTATTTGTTTTTTTTATTTATTTAATTATTCCAATTAATATATTTATTTCATTTATACATTTTTTAATTTTGATGAGATATTTATTTTATATGTTTATAGTTTTTCTTATTTATTTTTAAATAATTTTATTAATTTTTCTAAACTTTTTTTAGTTAGGGACATAAATTTAATATTTTAAATTATTTTTTTAGGGTCCCAGAGGTAGTAATACCACAGATGCTTGTGAACGTCATGACCCTTGTCAACATGGTGGCATATGCATATCAACCGATTCCGGCCCTATATGTGAATGTAGAAATTTGGAGTATGATGGTCAATATTGTGAAAAAGGTTTAAGAATTAAAATAATCAGTACTTATATGTATTAAATCAAACGCATATGTATAATTACAGAAAAGGCACCATCTGAAGCTACATTTCGCGGTACACAGTTCCTTTCATATGATCTTGGTCAAACTGGCGCTGAACCCATTGTTAGTGCACAAGATGCTATAACGCTATACTTTAGGACTAGACAACCAAATGGTCTATTATTTTATACAGGCAAGATCAATTATGTTATGTTTATCAATTTTTTAGTTAAAAATATAATATTAATGAATATTCAGGTCATGGTACAGACTATCTAAATTTGGCACTACGCGATGGTGGAGTATCGCTTACAATGGGCTTAGCCAATGGCAAACAAGAAATGCATATAAAACCATCAAAAGTACGCTTTGATGATCATCAATGGCATAAAGTAACGGTACATCGTAGAATACAGGAGATATCATCCATAACTAGTTTCTGTCGTGTAAGCGGGGATAAATATATAAATTCTGTAAAAATGTTTCTTATAATAATATATGTGATTTTAGTTGGTAACCGTAGTAGATGACGTTTATACAGATCATTCTCATATAGCCGGCAAATTTACAATGCTCTCATCTTCAAGAGTTTATGTGGGCGGTGCGGTCAATCCGAGAGCATTACTGGGAGCACGAGTCCATAATAACTTTGTGGGTTGTTTACGTAAAGTAAGTGCAAATGTTATAGTTTTAGTTTTTATATAAAAATAGAATTTATTATATAAAATTATTTTTTATTAAGGTTGAATTCTCTGCGGATACGCTGTTACTTAATCTAATCGATTTAGCTAAAAGTGGTTCGAAATTAATACAAGTGGCTGGTAATGTCGAATATCAATGTCCAATCGGTGATCCACAAGATCCAGTCACATTCACAACCAGGGAATCTCATTTAGTAAGTCTATTTAACTTATTATTCAATTTTATTTTTTATTTTTTATATTATGTTTATATATTATTTATAATTAAATGTTTTAATGACCAAAAGAAATTTTTTTATAGTTCCCCAATGATGACTATAGATTATAGTCGAAATATTGAACAATAAAAATCACATAAAACTATATAATAAATTTTTTTTTTTTAAAAAATATCTATATTTAATAACTGACCAATTAGCCCGTGAATTAATTATTTTTAAAAAATAATATATTATTTATATATACGTTAATTTTTATATATCATATTTATATTATTTTTTGAAATTATATTTTTTTTGCATTAATTAAAAAGTATATTTAAATATTATTAATACCGTATTATTGTATTAAAAAGAATATAATAATAATATTTTTGCTTTTCAAAACAAAACTATTTGTATTTTTTATGTATATTTAAGTTGTTATTAAAGATTCACCTTTTTATTTATTTTATATAAAGGTTCTACCACCTTGGGAAACTGGAAAGCAGAGTTCTATATCCTTTAAATTCCGAACAAAAGAACCAAATGGTTTGATAATCATGGCCACTGGCTCGAAACAACCCAGAGCTAAAAACGTGAGTCATAAATATATTATTATCCATTTACAAAATATAATTCAAAAAATGTTGTTTTTCATAGGCTGTACTTTTTGCTATTGAATTGTTAAACGGACACATATATATACATCTGGACTTGGGTTCTGGTGCAGCTAAAGTACGCGCTTCACGTCGACGTGTAGATGATGGCGATTGGCATGATTTAATACTCAGACGCAATGGTCGCGATGCCAAAGTTAGTGTTGATGGTGTGTGGAATGATTTCCGTACACCAGGTGATGGCACTATACTCGAATTGGATGGCCATATGTATGTAGGTGGTACAGGTCCAGCTTATAACAGTGTAGCTTGGCCATCAGCAATTTGGACTGCAACTTTAAGACAAGGATTTGTTGGTTGTTTAAGAGATTTAGTGCTAAGTGGTAAAGCTATTGATATTGCAGCTTTCGCACGTTTACAGGATTCTGGTAAGTCTTTCCTGAATTTTTTTAGTTTCCATTCTTTTATATGTGATGAATCAGAAAGAAAATTTTTTCTTAATAACAGCAAAAGTTTAGGGCAACGATAGTAAACCCTTTTAAAAACTCGTGGACCTATTAAAATTAGTTTGTTTTGTTTTTTTGGCTATCGAATATTAAAAAAGATGATTTGTTTAATTATGTTTGAGTAAAAAAATAAAAGCTTTGCATTCAAACCGTTTCACTTCGGTATGATTTTATTAAGTTGGAGCTCTCTGACATTAATGTCTGTCGTTTTTTAAATATATATCTAGAGCTCGAAGTACATTATTAGTGAATAACCAGCTCTTGACAGACAAATACTTCACTACTTAGGTGGCATTGTTATGGCTTCATATAAAATATGAAACAAACCCATAACAGTGCTAAAATCAAAAACTGAACCTAATATACAGGGGTAAGGGTTTTGCAGATCTAACTACAATAGATCTGATAATGTCGCAGTTCTTTCCGGACTTTTATAAATAATAATAAAAGTGTCTCACATCTACCACTTTCCCCATCATTCTTTTTGAGTACATATATCCACTGGATTTGTTATGTGAAACACAATAACACCTGTGCTATAGAAATTTTAATAACCATCCTATATTTGTCATCGCTGATCTATAGGAGTTTTTAACCTAAATGTTTATTAAACATTTAGATATAAAATATAAAATTTTTTAAATTTTTTCAAGCTTCCGTTAAACCATCGTGTCATGTTCAAGCAAATGTTTGCACCGGAAATCCATGTCTAAACGGTGGTACCTGCATTGAAGGTTGGAATCGACCAATATGCGATTGCTCAGCCACACTTTATGGTGGCCCAACGTGTGGACGTGAATCAGCGACTTTGGCTTTCAATGGTAGTCAGCATATGACAGCTTGGCTAGGCAACGGACAGGGCACCAAGACCCAGACAGAGGAATTAATTTTACGATTCAAGACATCGCGTCCATCAGGTTTACTTTTATTAACAAGCGCTGAATCAAATTCACCAGATCGTCTAGAGATTGCACTAGTTGCTGGACGTATACGTGCCAGTGTACGGCTAAGTGATCGAGAAAAGGTAAAGTAACGTTTACATGAATGCTTTTGTGAACAAATATGCTAACGCCTATCTTATAGAACCTTCTCGCTGGCCAATCAGTATTGAATGATAATAACTGGCACACAATACGCTTCTCGCGTAGGGCATCAAATCTACGGCTACAAGTTGACGGGGCTCCCCCTGTCAGGGGTATGTTATGTATGTATCAACAGCACTTCTATTGCCCTACTACGTGTCGTGCCGTGTCGTTTTTTTAAACTTACAAAAAAAAAAGAACATAAAACCAAAATAATTGCAAGAAAAATACTCATTTTATAGTAATTTTAACCGATTTCTTAGAAGCATCTGTAAATCGGGCTTTGTTTCGCTTTGTGATGTCCGTATGTTCAAGTATAAAAGACTCAGTGTAAATAATACCAAACCAATTAAGTTTGAGAAGATTATTTTGTAAGGATAACAAATATTTCATGACTAGGCTTCTAGGATATTAGCATACATAAACTTGAATATATGTTTCATATAAGAATGCATTTCTCATCAAAAGTGCAGTCATTTTGTTTGATTAAATGAATCATTTTGAAACGAAATTAATGAATGATTTAAGTGTTTTGCTTTTGAGTTTGAATCGAATTCATTTTAATTATGTTTTTGAAAAACTAAGTAGCGTGAAGTTTAAAAATTTTATACTAAATTGGTTAGTTATGACTTTCTAAATACCACCACACCCCGCCAACCCACCACCACTCATTCATTATTTGTTGGTGCATTAATCCACTTGGTTTTGTTTTATGAAAACTCATTAACCTTTTTTTGTACTTGTACTTCCTCTTAACGTTTGTTTCGTCTTGTACTATAAAAATCAATCAATCAATCCAAAACTCTCATACATATTAATTCAGCAAATGTATTTCAGATACTTTATTTCATTCCAAATTTATTTCTGTATATTTTGTATATGGTTTGTTTCCCCTACAAAAAAAAAAAAACTAAAAACATAAATATATTTTCTTTTTTACTTTGTAAGATTAAACTTTAAAAATCTTGATGTTGTGTTTTGATTTGCGTCAACTTTTTTTAATTAAAAAATAAAAATAAGAAAATCTATTATTAAGTCGTCAGCTTCGTACTTAAGAAGTTTCGAACTTACACTTGTAAAAGTTACTATTTGTATTCATGTTTTTGTACACAAATATTTAATAATTTTTAATTTTTAATAAATTTTTTTGATTTTAGCAAAATAAATATATAATATTTTTTAATATATTTTTTATATATTTCTTTGAATATATTTTTATATATATTTTTATATATTTTTAAATATTTTTCATTATTTTTATATATTTTTTATATATTTTATTATATAGTTTTTATATACACCGTTTTAAATTTTTTTTATGTATTTTGTACATATGTATATTTTTATATATTTTTTTACATATATTTTTGTATATATTTTTACATATTTTTAAATATTTTTATATATTTTATTATATAGTTTTTATATATTTTCTATACATTTCTTTTTATTTTTTTTATGTATTTTGTAATATATTTTTTATTTATATTTTTATGTATGTCCTAATGTATTTTTTATGCATTATTTTAAATAATTTTTTTAAAAAGTTTTTTATACTTTTTTATATATAGTTCTGGTATATTTTTTTTTAATTTTTTTATATATATTTTTTATAAATTATTTATGCAGTTTTTATATATATTTTCAAATATTTCTTTTGGTAGTTTTTATTTTTTTTTTTCATGTTATTTTAAATATTTTTTTATATATATTTTCATAAAAGTTTTTTATATTTTTTTATATATATTTTTAACATATGTGCTATATTTTTTTTTTATATATTTTTTACTTATTAAAATATTGTTGGTGAAAATAACATTATTATTTAAATGCTATCTACCATGAAAAGTTGTTTATATATTTATAAGCAGTAACTATTTTAACGGTAATATCATGGAAAATACTCCTAAGTTGAACCATAAAATCACCGTTCTAGTCTAAGATAACCCATTTAACCTGTTTTAAGCATCGTTGACCCTTAACTGGCCTATAAGACGACAAAGACTTAGATAGGTCTGCCGCAACAAACTCATGTCAGCGTTGAAGGAAAAGACACCGAAATATCTATTGTGTAACTGTCTAAAATTGTCTAGCTTCAGGATTTAGCTTATGGGTGTCCTATTTTTTAACTCATTCTACCATATATATATTGAACATATAAATCGGCCAAATATTTCTAACTTCGTCAATGCGTTTGAGTGGCTTTGTAATGCTAGACCAACTCGAAGAATATGAAATAAAAAAATCTTTTTTAGGTAATTGAGTGAGGAGAAGTCAAACATCCTACCACTTCGTGTATCTTTTTTCTTAAAGTAAATGAAATTAAAAGATCTTGTAGTAGTTCCTTACTCATATTAATTGCTTTTAGCTTTTAATTCAATTGACATTATAGAAATTTATTTCCACTAAAATCAATAATGGTATATTAAGTAAATAGTAATTTATTTTTAAATGAAAAAAATTATTTACAAAATGTCATATGCCTTATAAGAAGTATCCGCCGTTTTTATATCTAGTTGGTGTTGTTACTCATATATATGGCAACACTAATCCGGTTACATCATATTTCAAGTTCCATATATGGGTATATATACCCATCGTTAGGCAATTGTGGCTACATAATTTTTGGACTGCAAGTGAAAGAACTTTGAACCGGTCTATTTGAAAATATTGAAACGCGCTTTTAAAGCAAACTAGTTAATACTTATGATATCACTTACGTTGTTCACTTTTATTAAAATTTTAATCTTAATTTAAAAACAAGTTAATTTTTAAAATAAAATTTTAATCTTATTTACATATTTTTGAAAAAACACCTAAAAGACCAATTATAACTTTTTATTTCAAAATATATATCTTAAAAAAATTAATTATAAATATGTTAGAAGTCAAAAGTATATTTTTACTTATAATAAAATTACAAAAGTCACTTTAGATTTTTTTTAATTTTTTACTTAATTTTAGTAATTAATAAAAGCCAGCAAACACTGTAGTAGTATCTTAAGCCAATAGAACACAATTTGAAAAGATTCTCAATGCTTCGTAAAGTTCAGTCTTCACCCTGTGTAGTTTCAATTCTTACTTGGAGTTAAGTTTTTGGTAGATAGCTATTTTTTTTTTTAATTTATGTAATATTAATATTATCTTTTTTTTTGTTTTTTAGTTTGACTTAACTTTTTTCAGAATTTTTTTATTGAATTTATTTTTTATATTATTGTAAATAAGTAAATATATTTTTTTACTGTATTTACAGGCATAAAAATAAGGAGTTTTCTAAGTTGTAAAGTGTTTTTGATATTTGCATATATAAAAATATATGTATATAAATTATATATTTTAATATGAAACTTAATTTATAATTTCAAGACAATTTGCAGTATATAATACCTTTTTCTTATATAAGAAAAAACATTCTGATATTTTCAAAAATTTAGCAAACAAATTAATAAAAATATAAATCAAAGGGGAAATTAATATTATTTAACAAATGTTTGCTATTATTCCTTAACGGGATTTTTATTCAAAATCCTTTACTATACAATTTCGGTTCATTAGTTAAGAAAAAAAAAAGCAATCAATATATAAATTAATTCTTTTCTAATTTGTTTCTAGGCCACACATAGACAATAGACAATATGCGAAGTAATTTCGAACAATTTTGTGAATAAATAAATTATTAACTTAATTGTCTTATAAAGAAAAAATCGACACGCAAGAACGGTGTATACATTTTTTTGCTTAACCCATACATAATTAACCAATGATTAATTAAATGGCAGCAAAGAAATGTTGGAAACGCCAGGGCTGTAATTTTGCACCATTAAATATTTAGTTTGTGTTAAGTAAAGTATGTAAATTGAAAACTAATACTAATAACAAAAATTAAACAAACAAAAAACAAAAAAAATTAAAAATTAAAAAATATATAAAACCAACTTATGTGTAGATTATGTGTAAGTGTACGTATTTAATCCAATATAAGGTAATTTCCCCACCACCAATCGTTACAAATGTCCAAGGCAACTTTTCCATTTAAGTACTTTTTTGCACAAATACACACACCAGTTTGAAGGAAAGTTGCAAGACACTTGCTCGATTATTTTTCTTACAAACTTTGGACATTTGGAGCACTTTTCCGTTTTGTTGACATATGAAAAAAAAATAGAAAAAAAAAATACATTAACATAAATTGAATATTCAAAATACAATTTTATTTCTTGGGCATTGAACTCACCTAAAAAGTTTTGCATGTGCACAAAATTCTTAATGCATGTTTCATATATACTAGAAACGTATATACAAGCTAACTGTGTTTTATATAATACAATCTGCATATATATATATATAGTCGTATATATACTATAATTCATTTAAATTGGCACACATATGGAGTGGTACTCTTATGTTTGCCTTGTGATAAGAAATTTGTACGCTTACCATGTCATCGCCATTATCATCATCATAACCATCATTTCGCTACTATAATAACCAGTCTACTTAGTCTTTTCAAATGCATCAACTGAGCCTGTAAACACAAACGTTTTTTTTTTGTTCAACTTTCAATTACTGTTAAACTTCTGTTAAATATTTTTATTTTATTTTTTATAATTTTACTTTTACTACTTTTATACTTTACCATTAAGTAGAATTTATGCTACTCTGCTGCACATTTATTTTAAATATTCAGTAGTTTCCTACTTTTTTTGTGGTAAACTTTTTGAGTGTAAATTGGGTTTCTGTGTAAAGTTGTTTAATTGTGGTGGTAGTAAAATTTCAAAGAGTATGGAAAAGGATTTATATGCTTAGGCAGAAAAGTAGGTGACCAACTGGCATATTTTTGAATAATCTTTTTTTTTAACATTTATTTCAATTAATTATTATTCATTATATTTTAAACTTAATTTAATGCACTTTTCAAACTTAATTGCAGTGGTTTGTTATTATAACTTAGCGCACTTATCAGAAACAAAAAAAAAAAAAATATAACACAAATAACTATATAAGCTAGAAATTTTTTTGAGTTTTTTTTAATAATATAAATTCTAGTTACTGAAGAGTATATAAGAAAATTATTTGTTACTGCCGTTTATTTTAAAACAAAAAGAAAATAAACTTATTTCTATGATATAAATGTGATAAAAGTAATATAGTGAAACCGAATAGAATATATAAAATGTTGTCTTATAGAAACTTTACACGTAATCAACATTAGGTTAGGTTACTCCGACCGTTCGACGCACTTACACCATGAGGTCTATTGTAATACCGTCAAGAATTTGATACCTGTCACTATAACCATTTAGTACTAGTCACAAAGTCATAGACACGAGCTAGGCAAATCGAATTTAGCTCTCCTAATGAATTAAAAAAGTGCGACCCTAAGTAGGAGAGTCTATGTCTTGAGGAAGTAAAACACTGTAACTGAAAGTAATTAATATTAACATGACAATGAAATCAAGAAGAATTATCATATTAACTGAGATGCAGAGTGATAAATAAAAGTGTACCCGATAAAGTCTAAGTTACTATTCTAAAAACAATGTATCCAAACAAACTGAAAAGAAATTATATACTATGAACACTTCAATCAATATCAGCTTTAAACAGCTTAGACTGTTTTAAGCTAAAAATGGAATTATATACAATGAACACTTCAATCAATATCCTGGAAACAATTTATCTAAATGTCTTAAGTCGATTAAAATTGAAATGGAATTAATTCGATAACAAAATTTAGTAGTCAATGTTCCGACAATAGTTTATCCAAGTATCTTAAGTTGGTTAAAATTGAAATTGAATTATATCCGATAAAAACTTCTATCAATAGTCTGAATTTATTTTATCCAAGTAGCTTAATTAGGTTAAATGCAGTCAAT